CATATCCCCATACCCAACCCCTTCCCCCACGCCAGCCCCACAGAACAAACCCCACCCAACCACCACCTCTCTCTCGCTCTTTCTCCCCCCAAGCCTCCACCGTCTCTCTACTTGATCCCCCACGCCGCCCAAATCCTCCAAGCCTTACCCACTGCTCAGATCCACCAAGCCATACCCACTGCCCAAATACCAATCTTAGGGTTTTTTACCCTATTTTTATTCAATTGAATGAAATTTACGAAATAACACATGAATTCAATTTAATTCAGACTGATTGCTGGTGAAATTGCAGCGTCTATTATGGCTCGCAATAACTGGCCCAAAATGCAGTGAGAAGAAGGAAGAAGAAGCGTGTGTTGTGTGCAGAGGGGAGACGAAACCATTTTGGATCCGGGGAGGTTGTGGCCGTAGAATAGAAAGTGAGGATAACGGATGTCATTTGCTAAAATAAATGGGGGTATTATAGGTATTTTGAAAGTTTCATTAATTGCTCCGCATGCTTCCATCCGCAGCAGTTTTGAGAAGCACCTCTTGAGCTGCTTCTGAAATCTGCTGTGAGTCACATCAATTTTGAAAAAAAGCAGCCTTATCTTGATTTACCAAACACTTTTTCATTCAAAACTTAAAAAATAAGTTGCTTCTTTTAAAAGTTAAGCAACCCCAAACTAAGCCTTAGTCTAAAAGTTAAGAACACAAGTCTTGAATGCAATCGCATAATATGAACTGTTGGGCTGACTTTTGAACCAGGCCCACATATTCTTTAGATTTAGAGTACGCAAATCAGGCCTAAAACAGTAAAAGCCCAATTATGCAATTCTAAAAAACTAGCTAAACCTAAATTCGGAACTGATTCGGAACTGAAATAAAGAGCGTGGAAGTGATGGTTGAGGGACTTGAGCGTTTTCAAGGAAACCCGTTCGAAGTTTGAGAGCTTCCTTCCTTCCCACTTTCATTCAAGTTTTGAGTATCGGCTGAGTTTCTGAGATGCGGAAGATGATGACGGCAACTGCATCTTCTAATGGCAGCAAAGGTATGCCTTCTCTTCACTCTACTGTTGTTGTTCTCTTCAACGATTACTCAGCTTTGTTTCATTCTCAACCCTCAAATTCGAAGCCAAATAAATCTAGAAACACCCAGCCAAAGCGGTTTGGTGTGAGAGACCCAACCAAAGTCACAAATCTTGAGCATGCTTTCAATGTGTTCGATGAAATGCTTCACAAGCGTCCTTTGCCTTCGGTTTTCCGTTTCAATCAAATCTTGGGACAAGTTGCGAAATTGAAACATCATTCGGCCGTCATCTCTATGTATAACCAAATGGCTGTGTCGGGAGTTAGACCTAGTGTTTGTACTCTAACTATTGTCATTAATTGCTATTGTCATCTCAACCAAATGGGGTTTAGTTTTTCTGTCTTGGGACAACTCTTTAAATCTGGGTTTGAACCAAGTGTCTGTACGTTCAACACTCTAATGAACGGCTCTCTTACCGAGAATAGAGTGGCTGAGGCTGCAGAAATTTTCAACAAAATGATGAAGACAGGTAATTGTAAGCCTAGTGTGGTTACTTTCGGCACACTAATAAAGGGTTTCTGTAGAATGGGTAACAACAGTGCAGCTATCCAATTGCTGAGGAAGATGGAGGAAGGACCTTGCAACCCTAACGTAGTTATCTATAACACGATCATAGACAGTCTTTGTAAGGATACACTAACTGTGGATGCATTGAACCTCTTCTCTGAAATGATGAGCAACGGTATTTCCCCAAATGTCATCACCTATACATCCTTGATTCATGGGGTTTGCAGATTAGGCAAGTGGAAAGCAGCTACAAGGTTGTTGAATGAAATGGTGAGTAGAAATATCTCTCCAGATGTGCACACCTTCAGTATCTTGGTAGACACACTTTGTAAGGAGGGGATGGCTGAGGAAGCGCAAACTGTGGTCGAAATGATGATTGAAAGAGATATTGAACCTAATATAGTTACGTACAATTCACTTATGGATGGTTACTGTTTACGAGGAGAAATGGACAAAGCGAAAAAGGTTTTTGAACTAATGCTTTGCAAGGACTCCATGACTGATGTTCGTAGTTATACCACATTGATAAATGGATATTGTAAACGTAAAATGATGGATGAGGCCATGATGATTTTCTTGGAAATGTCTCGTAGAGGATTGGTTTCTGATACCGTTACATATACCACTCTTATACATGGTTTCTGCAAACTAGGGAGAATACATGATGCACAGAAGTTGTTATCTCAAATGCAAGGTTGTGGCCATCTTCCTAATATGGTTACTTTCGGCACACTAATAAAGGGTTTCTGTAGAATGGGTAACAACAGTGCAGCTATCCAATTGCTGAGGAAGATGGAGGAAGGACCTTGCAACCCTGACCTAGTTATCTATAACACGATCATAGACAGTCTTTGTAAGGATACACTAACTGTGGATGCATTGAACCTCTTCTCTGAAATGATGAGCAACGGTATTTCCCCAAATGTCATCACCTATACATCCTTGATTCATGGGGTTTGCAGATTAGGCAAGTGGAAAGCAGCTACAAGGTTGTTGAATGAAATGGTGTGTAGAAATATCTCTCCAGATGTGCACACCTTCAATATCTTGGTAGACGCACTTTGTAAGGAGGGGATGGCTGAGGAAGCGCAAACTGTGGTCGAAATGATGATTGAAAGAGATATTGAACCTAATACAGTTACGTACAATTCACTTATGGATGGTTACTGTTTACGAGGAGAAATGGACAAGGCGAAAAAGGTTTTTGAACTAATGCTTTGCAAGGACTCCATGACTAATGATCGTAGTTATAGCATATTGATAAACGGATATTGTAAGTGTAAAAACATTGATGATGCCATGATGCTTTTTCGGGAAATGTCTCGTAAGGGAATGGTTCCTGATACCATCACTTATACCACTCTTATGGATGGTTTCTGCAAAGTGGGGAGAATACGTGATGCACAAAAGTTGTTCTCTCAAATGCAAGGTTGTGGCCATCTTCCTGATGTTCAAACTTATGCAGTTTTACTGCATGGCCTCTGTAAAACCCAACAACTTCCTATGGCGATGAAACTTTTTAGAGTGATGGAAGGAAAGAAGTTGGATATTAACATTGTGATTTACAATATTCTTATTGAAGGTTCATGCATAGCTGGAAAAATTGAATCTGCACTGGACATTTTCTATGGTTTATCATCAAAAGGACATCAACCTAATGTCAGGACATATAATATAATGATCAGTGGGTTTTGTAATGTAGGCCTAATTAGTGAAGCGGAAAAGTTGGTTGGAGAAATGGAAGAGAATGGATGTTCTCCAGATGGTTGCACCTATAATACAATTATCCGAGGGTTTATCAATAGTAATGAGACATCAAGGGCTATGGTTTTTATTCAACAAATGGTGGAGGGGGGTTTCTCTGCGGATGCATCAACTATGGAATTGATTGTTGATTTATTGTCTAAAGATGATGTAGATCCGGCTTTGTTGCCATTGATAAAAGAAACATCGCGAAGTTAATTTGAAACTTTGACATGGCTGTACCCTTGGCAACCATGAATGTACTGTTCGTCTTAGTATGGTTGACGGTGCTTGAAGATATGCCAGTGAAGTATTTCTTTTGAACTGAGCTTATAGTTAGAGCAGAGTGTAATTACCTAGTATCTCATGTAATATGTAGACATGTGTGCTTGTGTTGGCCTTATTTGAGACAATAAGGATTAGTTTCGCACCAGGAAAATATGGTCTTTGTTGGTCAAAACTCGAACTGAAAAAATCAGAATGTAATTTATTTATTCTAAATTCATTCAGCATTCAGGGATTGGTATGGATACTCTTGGGCTTCAGCAAGTGGTGATGCTTTTGCATCTGCGACATATTAGATGTTCTTTATTGCTAATGCCATCGGAAGATCCTCCAATATTCTTCTTTTTGTTCTTTCGTCGTTGATGCAACTTGGTGGGTTGTCATGGTGGAATTGCACAATATTTATAGGTTTATTTAATTTTTATTTTTGAGGGTTTTTGTGTCTATTTAAGTATGATTTTGATTATATTTGAATGTTTTTGTAAAAACTGACATTAATGAATTTATGGACTAAATTTTGGCTATGAACAATAAAAATTACTTTTTTTTTATTTTTATAATGTGATTAGTATGCCATAAAACAAAATGAAAAATATAGACATGGGTTTAGTCAAGTTTGTTAAAACAAATATATTCCTACTCTTTACCTGAGTTTGAATCCCCTTCCCTATAGTTTAGATCAGATGAAAAATTAAGGGCTCGTTTGGTAACGTTTTCGGAGAATGTTTTCTGAGAATGAAAACGAGAAAACAAATTTGCATTTTTTAGGATTCGAAAATGCATCTAGTAGATTAATTGGAAAACATATTCAAAAAATAAAAATAGTGAACACGTGTCTGGTATGACAATTTGAGGATAATAATATGTGAGTTATTTTCCAAGTATATTTTTTTGCTAATTTCTGTCCTAAAAAGTTTTTTTTTTAATTCTGATATTTTAAAGGCTAAATTATTACAAACAATGAAAAATGTATCATTTAAGAATAATAATAATATCATTAAAATAGTGATAAAATTCTAATTTTAGAAAAACCTAGATAAAAAAAATTATATTATCTTTAGTTTAAAATAAATATGAAATTGAATAATAATATGATGGTTTTATAATAAAATTAATATATATTAATATAGCAAAAAAAAATAATGTGGTGGATACAAAAAATTGAAAAAATAAAAATAAAAACCATACCAACAAAAAAAGAAAGAAAGAAAGCAATCAGACATTGAGTGGGTAGAAAATGAAAATGTTAAATTGGTGTTTTCAGTTTTTGTATATGAGTTTAAATTTGTTTTCAGAACTGATCTCCATAGGAAATGTCGTCGCTATCTTAGCTGGGTCTTTAGTCTTCAACTTGCTTAGCTCTTCATCAAGTCAACTCCTTTCCTTTGCCAGAAAATCACCAGCAGCCGTTGACATTGACTACTTCTTTGTTTCTACTCTTGCATGAGGATCCCTAGAATCAAATGAGTGGAGAGCTGTGACGAAAGTCAAAGTCAATACGGGTAGGATCTGGTGTGTTTTAGCCGAGGAGCTTCACCTATACTCTCAAATCAATTAGTGCTCCGTCAAGAGAAAACCTTAGCCGAAAAATGAAGCACTCTGCAATTCTATTCGGTGTAGCTTTAATACTTTTTTGGTCTCATGTGAGCTCGAACTCACCTGATCTCCACCAATGGAGTGGAAATTTCCAGCCGACCCAACTCCTTAAAACACGCCACGTGGCATTATTGGCCACGAAGAGCTCCATAAGTCAAAGCCCTTAATCTGAGGGTCAGAACCCAACCCATTATCACTGAGGTTCATCTTCATTCCCAAGTATTTATATCATATGTGCCTCTTCCCATATTGCTCCTCAATCTCACCATGGCTAGCTCCATAGTACTGTTGTTGCTCCTCATTGCTTTGGCTCTTCTATCTGTATCCGCTAATCGTGAGTAACGCATTTACTAATTACGTTATTTGTACTATACTTATATACGATCAGATCACATCTCTCGTAACCATTGCAAGATATGTGATTAATAAGTATACTACAAATGACATTACAATAATTTTCATTTATCATGCGCCCTTATCTTATCTCCTATAGATTTCTTGAGAGAGATGTAATCAGTAATAGGGCTAACAATAACCCAACTTTTTTGTGCTTAATTATCATTCTTACGTGAATGCATGCATTATATCCAAACTAATTTCTATTTCCTTGCTGCATTTGCAGTTGTTAGCATCGATTGTGGGTCATCGGATTCCTACACAGATGAAAATTCAATAAAATGGGTAGGAGACGACGACTTTGTTCAAAATGGCAAGTCCCAAGTGGTGCAAACCACCAATGGAGTGTCTCATGTAATGGGCACCTTGAGGGTGTTTTCAACTAGGAAAAAAAACTGTTACTCCATCAAAGCAGAAAAGGGCTCTCAATTTCTTGTGCGTGCAAGTTTTTATTATGGAAACTATGACAAAAAGTCAGCTCCTCCTAGCTTTGATCTTCAATTGGATGGAAACTATTGGGACACCATTCAAACTTCAGCTGATGGTGTTGTGTATGATGAAGTTATATATATCACGAAAGGTGATTCTATAGAGCTTTGTCTTGCCCAGACGCAGCCCAACCAGCTTCCGTTCATATCCGCGATCGAGATCCGGGGCTTGGCCTCGGAAATGTACAATCATGTCGATTCGGAATATGCCATGCTTCTGACAAGAAGGGTTGCTTATGGTGCAACTGAAGCTATAAGGTATATATGCTATGCTACTCACCTACTTTCTCTTTGCCTTCTTAGAAAGAGTGTAATACCAAAGTGGGACGTTTCTTTTTCCCTCTTTTTGTTTTGCCTAGATAAAGAGTGAAATGTTATAAGGGTTAAAAGCGTTTTTCAGATGAGCTGAACTACTTTTGGTTGTGCGGGGTATAAAAACTAAAGGTCCTTATGAGTTATTATAGCACTTTTTATTGCCCTCTAGAAAAGCACATACTGTACTTAGTAGGTGCTTTTTTAGGAAATTTTTATAAATGCTTTTTTTTTAAAATAATAAACTACTTGTATTTTAATAAAAATTTCAACGTGCTTCTAACAAAAGCGATTTTAGTAAACATGGTACTTAAATGCTATATTCAATCCCTCAATCCAATTCTCAATTGACTGGGCACCTTGAGGGTGTTTTCAACTAGGAAAAAAAACTGTTACTCCATCAAAGCAGAAAAGGGCTCTCAATTTCTTGTGCGTGCAAGTTTTTATTATGGAAACTATGACAAAAAGTCAGCTCCTCCTAGCTTTGATCTTCAATTGGATGGAAACTATTGGGACACCATTCAAACTTCAGCTGATGGTGTTGTGTATGATGAAGTTATATATATCACGAAAGGTGATTCTATAGAGCTTTGTCTTGCCCAGACGCAGCCCAACCAGCTTCCGTTCATATCCGCGATCGAGATCCGGGGCTTGGCCTCGGAAATGTACAATCATGTCGATTCGGAATATGCCATGCTTCTGACAAGAAGGGTTGCTTATGGTGCAACTGAAGCTATAAGGTATATATGCTATGCTACTCACCTACTTTCTCTTTGCCTTCTTAGAAAGAGTGTAATACCAAAGTGGGACGTTTCTTTTTCCCTCTTTTTGTTTTGCCTAGATAAAGAGTGAAATGTTATAAGGGTTAAAAGCGTTTTTCAGATGAGCTGAACTACTTTTGTTTGTGCGGGGTATAAAAACAAAAGGTCCTTATGAGTTATTAAAGCACTTTTTATTGCTTTCTAGAAAAGCACGTACTGTACCATAAACCAAGCTTAAGAATAGACGTGGTGCACAAATTTCTCTCCACATTGTGCGATCACTAACCTAATATTCTTGAATTCTTTTTTATTTCAAGCTGACTTTAATTTCCTTATATTAAATATTTCAGGTATCCAAGTGATGATTTTGATAGGATTTGGGATGCAGTGGAGGTTGGCAATGGACTAGTAAAAGTCACAACTGATGCACAAACTATTGATACATCTGTGCCTGATCAGCCTCCTGTAGCTGCTTTCCAGTATGGAATAACAACCTCAAAAACATCTGAAGCAATACTTCTGGTCACTGATCTTCCACCCGTTGAAGTTCCCATCTACATCATCATGTACTTCTCCGAAGTAACCGTACTTGATTCGACTCAAACCCGATCCTTCGAGATCTACATCGATGGCAAGTCTCACTTCGACCCCATTGTTCCAGTCTATGGAAGTGTCGTTGAGATGTCCATTACCAACATAAGTGCTTCTTCAAACACCTCCTTCTCTTTGGTGGCTACTTCGGACTCGACGCTTCCTCCTTTGATCAATGCCATGGAAGTTTATTATGTCAGCAGTCCAATCACGGATGGAACTGATAGCAAAGATGGTTGGTAATCTAGTCCTTAATTTTTTTTTTATATCTCACATACACAACTATGATATCGTGGGAATTTGACTTTGAAACTTTTAATCTGCAAGTCAAAGCCCTTTTTCATTGGGCTAAACCCCCATTGACAGACATTTTCTAGTTATTAAATTAAAAATAATGATAATTTTTCCTTTGTGGCTTTGCTTTTGATCTATCAGTGGCAGGT